TGGTATAAAAACTATTTAAATTTCATTATAAAATTTAAAATATGTTTAAACAATTTTTATAGGGACAAACTCATATATCCAAACTTAATTGGACACATTCGAAATTGAGAAGTAAACCAAATTGAAAACCACTTAAATTTGAAGGAAATTGAGAAGTAACTACATTTAGTCGATTAATTAAGGTGTTTATCTTTATTTTCTCATATTCTATGAAGTTATGAATTCTGAATCTATTAGGATCACTTCTCTTCTCGTCTCTCATAAGATTAAGATCAGATGAAAAACACTTTACTAAAGCACTAATTGCTAATTATATGATTAAATCACCTTAGAAAAATATAATTTGAAAATTTGAGGTGACATGATTTTATATTTTAATGATGACAGTGATTGATTCCGTTGTTTTGCAAGATGAACAGCTGGGAGAAAATAAAAGCAAATGTGTGCAGGTCCCATATGCGCCAATGGTGAGTTGGATATGTGAAGGCAACCACTTTATAATTATGATCATATCTCCGGTGACAGATCTAAATATAATGGGTAAACTATATGTTTAGTATTCTAACTTTAAATTTGGTTTCATTTTAGTCACATGTCGTTAAAAAATTAATGGTGATTTTGATGTGTCATTATAAAGTAATATCACGTCAGTATCATTATTAATTTTTAACAATAGATAATCAAAGTGAAACTAAAACACAACATTAAATATGATTTAAAAAAAAGTTAATTAGGTGACAAAAACGAAATAAAATGCAATTTAGAAAAAAAACGATTACTTATCGCCGTAGAAATAGTTAGATCACCGTGAAATAATTTTGATGGTTGAAAAAATATTTAACGTTAAATGATATGTTATTTCCGGGCATTTAAAGAACGAGCATCATCAAAACCAGTGGATGGGGTGCAAAACCACCGCTTCATGTGATCTCGCCTGTTATATTTATGTATCCTTTTCTTTCTAACCATTATCTTCAACGTAATTCATAAAAAGGTAAATATAAATTTTGGTCCTTAAACTTGGCTTCAAGATTCAAATTGGTATTTGAAGTTTTTTTATCTAATTAAATAATGAACTTCACTTTAAGGTTCAATTTGATATTTATATTTTTTGGTTCAATAAAGTAACTGAACTTAACTTATTGGTTCAACCAAATTAAACCGACAAATCATGTTCAAGTATCAATTTGTAAACAAAAAGTTCATGTAGTAACTGAACCAAAAAATATTTCAAATACCGAATTGAACCATGAAGTCTAGTTCAAGCACCTAATTGACAAAAAAAAATCTTTAGATATTAAATTAAAATGTTTGAGAAAAATGATACATTTTAAACACTCTCGATGTGAAAGTATGTTTACCTACTTATACGATGACTGAAATATGAATTATATACGGTCTGACATGATTATATGATTAAGAGAATAGAAAAATTATTAAAATTGAAGATAATATCATATCTTTAATTGTTGTTAGGAGAATGATGCCGATACTAAACTATAATTAAAATTTTAGTATAATATGTTTAATATTTTTAAAATTATTTTCTTAAAAAATTAATGTTTTTTAAAAGAATATTAAAAATTTGTAATTTATTTTTAAAAGTATAAAAATAACTAATCGCGGAGGTTTTGAGATTTTGGTAGGAGACAAGTTGGTTTAACATTGTTTCTAAAAGGTACGACCAAAACATGTGTGAGTGTTTCTAAGAAATTTGATTTATGATTTTAATATTATTGATGAAAATAAATTGATTATATTAATTGTGGGTGGTTTATTTCTTCTGATTCGGACAAAAATTACAGTTGCCGACAGGTTATATTGGTGGTATGGCTGTGGAGAAAAGTTGCTAGGAGTATGTACCAATGATGTAAGAAGTCCCCCTTCTCCTTCCTGTCATTGGGATTTATATGCAGACTCTTTCTGCAGTCATGATTGTTATGTTGGTGAGGAATGCCGTCGAAAACGGTATTCGAAACAAATAAAGGTTCTTGGAATGCCTCAGAAGATCTTCAAACATGGTATTGATTAAATCGTCAAGAATGATCGAACCTCGTTATATCGATCATATGTCCGAGTTAATAGGGAAACAGGTAGTTCCAGTTGGACCACTTGTGCAAGAACCATGCAACAGTGACGATGATGTTCAACTCATGGAATGGCTCGGAAAGAAGGAACCTGGTTCGGTTGTGTTGGTTTCCTTTGGAAGCGAGCTTTTCATTTCAAAGGAAGAGATAACAAATGATTTTTTTTTTATTAATTTAATATGATTATAAGATAATATATATTCTAAAAGATCTCAATCATTTGATAATAAAAACTCATATATTCTTTCAATCTAGTATTCAAACCTAAAACCTCTAAAAAATAATAAATAATATTTTGTAATAATTATAAGATTAAGATTGCATGACGTTCATCGTACATGCATACCTAAAAAGATAGAGATATCTCATTAGGGTTTGTTGGGGGGTGATAGAGTGATTTTCGAGAATTTTTATGTAAGGCAGATTTGACACGTCAAAATAAAGTAAATATAAGTAGGATAAATTATACAAGTGGTGCCATGATTACAGGGTATCATTTTATTGAGTCTCTCAATTATTAAAAAATACAAAAAATACTTAATTATAAGGCATTATTTGTTGAGTCCTGAACTATCAAAAGTAATAAAATATGATTTTTTTTTCAATGTACTTCCGTTTATTTTCTTGCTCGCATGTTGCTGCGTGATTAATCTAAGAATGATTTTTGTTCGAAACAACCCCTTGGAGGAGAAAAATCGATGAACGAATGAGTGTTTTCCTAAGAAAACTATTTTCAGATCTAGTCTTATCTGAAGTTTTTTAGTGAGATTTGAGGTCGGATTTGAAAAGAAAAAAGGAGAGAATGAAATTTCAAAAGATGTAAAGATTTTTCCTTTTCGTCGTCGATAAATAGCAACCAGTGTCGACACTGAATGGCCGACACAATAAAAGCTCGTTGGATTTTAGGTTCACGGATGAACGTCAAGAATCACGAAGAATAATTGAGATCGATTGAGAAAAACAACTTCAATCTAAATTTTTTTTTTAGAGAAAATTAAAATTGTTTTTTACTTATATAGTCACTTAATTGACCTGATGACCCAACATGGACCCACACAGAAACCACGTGTTCTTTAATGTGTAGGATCTGCGATCCCTCCTATCTTGCTAAAAAATCATTTTAGTCCCCATTTCCTTTTAATAATGTTTTTAATTATTTCAGATTAGAATTTTAATTTTATTTCATTTTGATTTAGTCCATTTTCCCTTTCCCTTTTGTTTTGATATTTTTTTATTTCTTTTAATTATGGTTTTTAATTTTCATTTTATTTTAATTTATCCCACCTTTAATTTTATTATATATATATCCCCTTTATTTATTTATTTTACTTATTTCACCTTTAATTTAATTTTTGTTTCAATTTGGTCCAGAATTATAGTTTTATTATTTATTTCATTTTTTGAATTATGCTAATATTAACTAGTCTATTAATTTTGGTCCTTAATTTTAGTTTTATGATTTTTTTATTTGAGTAACCATCATTTCAATTTCTTTTATTTATTCTTTATATTATATGTATATTATTTTAATATTAATGCACTTTATTGTTTACTATATTTAAAGGTATTTTTAAATTACGGCTAATAAGTAGACTTTATTCATTTACTCTTATAGATCATTAAAAATTAAATTCGAACTCATAACTTTTTTTATTGATAAGACAATAATATAATCGACTCAATATCAAAGACAATAATATAATCGACTCAATATCGTAGAGTGTTGTGGGGTGTTAATCCTTCTTCACACGTCGTCGACTCTCAAATATTTTATGATTAAATAGACATTTAAATTATTATTTTGATAGTTTACTCCTAAAAGCGGATTTGATTAAAATGATAAGCTTTTGGATTATCTGATTACACTTTAAATAAAGATTGATGATGACTTTTTAAATAACGTATTTTAAAAAATAGAACCATAATTCATTGAAACCCTTTAAAAGAAATCATATTTTAAAGACATTTCAACAACTTTATATAATATTTATATTCTTTTTAATATGATTATTTTATTTCAAAATTTATTCATTTTGCGCTTGCACGTATATTAAGCTCTATTTTAAGTATTCATTTTTTTGATGTGTACAAAATATATATTGCAAAATCATAATTTATTAGATTATTAATCTTTAAAAAAATGTAAAACCAATAACTTTTATATATAGTTACAATATAAAAAAGTTAATATTATATTTTTTAAAATTATTGGATGAATGTGAATAAATGGAATAAATTAAAACTTTTGAACAGGAGATAATTCACTTTTTCTTTTTTCTTTTTTAAATTTGAGGATGATTAATGAGAGGTAGTAACACAAAATAAGAGCAATTGAGAACAAGGATGGGCATGGGACCCGAAGCCGTCGGATTATGATCCGATCTGATTTGATCGGGTATGTTTTATTTTTTTTAATTTTGGGTTTGGATCGGGTTTTTAAAAGGTGGTGTTTGGGTCGAATTCGGGTTTAGGGTGAAAATATCAGGCCCAACCAAACCCGGAAAATATAAGTTTGCCCCATATATTTAGGAATAATTATAATAATACCCCTCTATATATTATTTTTTTCAATGAAATCATTTTTTTATTGAATAAAAATAATATTTTTTTTATTTCGGGTCGGGTCGAGTTTCGGTTTTATCTCAAAATGTTGGGTCGGGTGGAGGGTATATATTATGCGAGTCGGGTCGGATTTCGGGTGGAGAAGTCATTGTTCTCGGGTCGGGTGGACCAAAAATCTGACTCATGCCCATCCCTAATTGAGTATGCAATCAAGGGTGAGAAACTAAGCATATTCATACATCAAATTTAGCCCGAGAAAGCTGTTCAGTGACTACTTTCCCATTAGAAGGATCAGTGAAGAACATAGATCAAGAAACAATTAAAAGGTAAATCAGACATCAGAAGAAAATTAAAAAGAGAAAAAAAGAAAAAGATGAAGCACATGTTGTTGTGGTCAGCACAAATTTAGTGAAGGGTTTCGATGTTTCTGCTCAGCTCCTCCAGCTTCTTCATCCTCAACCTCTCGCTTTCACTCACCAGCTAAACACCACCGAACATACATATGTTTCTCAGAAAATGTAAATGTTGAAGCAAATGAATGCTCCTAATATATATTATTTACCTCCATTAATTTGCTAACCAGTTGTGCTTTCTCCTTCTCCTTCTCATTGACGGTTTCAAGGGCTTCTTTGTACTCTCTTTCCTGTGATGATTATAAAAACTCCTCACACATTACTCTAGTCTTATAAATTGTTATTACTATTGGCTTAATGTTATTAATCTCTCATTAAATTTAGGGTAAATTGTACCTATGACTACTTAATTATTGTCTATTTTCATTTTGATCACCGATTTTTAAAATTTGTCAATCATATCTCTTAACTATTTAAGTCTTGCAATTGAGCCACCAGACGTTAACATTTAACGGAGGAGGTGATGTGGCTGTTAAAAAATATGGTATAATTAAACATTAGATCCTCAATATTTACCTACCAATTTTTTAACAGTCACGCCACCTGCTCCATTAAATGTTATCGGTCGATGGTTTGACTGCGACATTTATATAGTTAAGTATTTTGATTGACAAAAATAAAAAATCATTGATCAAAATGAAAATGAACAATATTTAAGTGGTCATAGATGTAATTTACTCTTAAAATTATTACTAAATCAGGGCTAATTAGAACTTCATCCCCTGAAAATTTTAAATTTTTATATAATTTAAGTATTTTTTTTATATTTTCTATTAATAATCTATTTTCACATCTTAAAATTTTATAAGTTCGCTCCTCACTGTAACTATAAAATTTTGTGAGTTGTGAGTTCAATTTAATTTTTATTAGTGATTCATATACAACCCTATTGTGCCTGCACATGAGATTAAGCTTTAAGATAATCACTTAATTAGTCATACAACCATTAATGGGAATGAAATCCGTACCTTCTTCTGGCATGTCTGTCCCAGTGGTTTCAACTCCCGGTTAACAGTGTCTACCTTCTTACGAAGAACTGCAACTTCCTTCCTCATCGGATCTATAAGCGCATCAAGCTCCTGCCAACTCATGAATTTCAATTGTTCTATTTACAAATTGAGTGTTTTGTTAGGTGAATCAAAATGTTGTTTTCGTTTTCTAGATTTGTCAATGTTGTGAAACAATATGATCAGGTCAGTGATCTAAACTTACTTCTCGGATGTCGGCCAAGCGCCGAGTGGCTTCCTCGACACGGCCCATATAAGCCTGAACTCTATCCCTAACCTCCATCTTCTTCCTCTCGATCTCTTCTTCTTTGGCTCGAAACAACGCCAAAGCAGATTCCGTCATCTCCTCTTCCTTATAATCGTCTGTTGGACTTCCGTTGATCATGTTAACGCCAGAGCTCTTCACTTTCTGCACCTGCGATTGCTGTTGTTCCCATGTCTGCTGCTTTGGCGTCCCCGTCGATGCCATCTTACAACAGTTCCCTCTTCTTCTTTCTTTTGCTTAATGGCTCTCTTTCGGTGGTTATAACTGCAGGACTGGTTAGCTTTAAAGCTATGAAATCAACCAAATACAAAAGATAATAGTGATTATATTATTAAAAAAACATGATTTTTTGACCCATTTGTCTGCTTACTTTATTAGAATCATCAAGTTTGAGAGTTTTTTTTCTTTTATTTTTTCACCTTTAAATCAAATCTTCTTTCCAATCTCTACTTCAAACACCCCACTTAAATTAACATCAGTAAAATTTTAGTTTCTTGTAAATTGGCATAATTAACGGCAATTCCATACACAGTTCAGTTAATAGGGATAAACACATGATTTTATATTACAAACAAAAATTTAAACTATAATTATAGTGCGTTTTCGGTTGCGTTTATCATGATTGTGACAATAACGCGTGTTACTGAAACCATTGCGGCTATCACAATTGTGCAATAATTATTTCGAATGTATAACACCTTAATAACTATATAACGATCGTTATTTCGATAGCGGACCGTTGTTTAAATCCATGATTAGGCGCGAACTTATAAAATTTTACAGGATAAACTTATAAAATTTTAAAGTAAAAATGAATTATCAAAATATATATATATATAAATTCTTAAGTTATAAGAATTTAAATTTTTCAAGAGATACAACATCTCTCGTCAAACTCCATTATTGTAATTTTTTTCATTTGTGCATCGATTTTACATATATTTAAATTACAAAGAAAAATAAATCTCTAATACATAAATTTTTATAAATTCATCGCATCCAAGTATATATTTGATGAATAAAATGATGTGGAAATAATTATTCCCAATTTTAAAAATGTAAATTATTTATTATAATAATTTTGGTGCAATTTTAGATGTATGTATACATATATTTGGTGAAGGGTCGTATATTGGTAAAGGCATGTTTGTGTTGGTTTAGTGGAGTTGGCATGAAGTGGTCACCTACACAAGTTAGAAGATAAAGCCTTAGTAGTCAAGATAGAGTAGGAGAGATATTACAATACAATATAAAAGATAATTAGAACACAATTTGAAAATAATAAATAACATAATATTCATTTGGTTTTCTTTTTCTTTCTGATATCACATTGAAGTTGAATGTATCCAAAAATTAAAATTTGCTGCTTTGTTTTAAGGTTAGTTTAATTGTTTTTAAAAGTAATTTCGAAATATTTAATTTAATATTTAAATGTTTATTATTTTTGTGAAAATATAGTTTTTAGGAAATAAAATGTATATTGTTTTACTTATTTTATATGATTTTATAGTGCAGTGGGGTTTTAGGTGGAGGCCAAGGTTCACCCACTAGGTAAGAGTAGTGGGGTTTGAAATAGACAATCAACATTGTAAGGTTTTTTTAATGAGTTTTGTTATATTAAGTAAGAGATAATGGCATTGAAAACGATCGTACAATAAAATAAGACATCGATATTTTATATGAAAAATGCATAGATAAAAGAGAAAAAATAACAAAAATAGAAGAGGCTTAATCAACTAACTTCTAATCTTAATTCTTAGTATTTGTTTATATATAATTATTTGATTAAAAAAAACTTGTGTAATAAAAATTCTACTAAAATTAGATTTTTCTACTTTTAATCAACGTCTAATAAAAAAAGTATATTATGTATGAGTTTAATATACGATAAGATCTTTACAATAAATATTTTAAATTAAATAAAACAAAATTTGGATCATAAAATCCTAACATGTTTAATCAGAGTTTTAAAGTGTTTGGTGATGTTGAATTCATTCACGTTTTAAGTGAAGTCAATTGTTTGACCTCTAACGTTGGATCAAAAGAAAGCCTCGAGAAGAGATTGATGCCATTTTTATTTTCAAATGTCGAGTTCGGGGCTAGATGGGATAGTTTTTGAATTTACGAAATTTCAATAAAGAGTAGAAAGACTTGTCAAGAATTAAAATCCGAAATAATTTTACGTAAAATCTTGGTATATATTTTACGAAACAATGATTATGTTTGCCTTTAATTTGAGTGTAAATAAATCAAATTTTACGAACTTTTGGTGACAGCTCTTATTTCATCATTGGACGGTGGTATCATATTAATGTTTTGGCTTCCTAATAGAGGGCAGTAAATTTACCTAGCCTCTTATATTCGAAAGCATGATTGTCCGTGCCGGAGGTAGAGAATAGCTTGCGATAGAATTCTCAGGCCATTAGAGCAAGTTCTTCCTGATCGGTGTACCAAGTCCCATCTTCGTTCTTTAGGGCAGCGATTTTATTGGTTCGTCTACGTGTGATCGTTGATGCATGGTAGTACTTTATATTTCTATCACCTTGTAATGCCCATTAGGAACATGATTTTTGTCTTCACGTTAATTCTTCTTGTTCAAGGACGGTATTAAGTTCGTTGCGAAGTTTTTCCTTTAGCTCTTCAAGAAATTATGATTGATATATCAAGGTTGCTCTTTCGATTTCCCTAAACCGAGCTTGAATCTCCTTTTTCCTATATGGCCAAAAGTTTCCGAGTTCCATTTACTTGCTACTGATTTGAAGGAATTAATGTTGTCTACCATAGAGTACTGATTTTTCCACGTTGAGGATAGAAAATCTTTGAATTGTGGATGCTCTTGCCATGCTGACAGGAACCGGAATGGTCTGTTGAAGTTTTGTTTCTCTCAAGCGAACATCTACTGGAGCAGCGGTCGATGGTCAGAGCCGATACGGTCTAGGTGCTCCACATGCGAATTCGGGTAGCTTCTAATCCAGCTGGTATTGGCTAAGCATCGGTCTACTCTCTGTTTTAAGGTTCCTCGGATCCATGTGAATGGCGGGCCTTGGAATCCCAGATCGAAAAGGCCTGTGTCATTAATAAAATTGTTGAAAAGTCGACTGCCCCCATTTGTGCGATTTGAACCTCCCATTCTTTCGTCAGCATTTAAAATTGCATTGAAATCACCTCCTAGGATCCATGGAGTCTCGTTTCCTGGTTCGAGTTTATTTAGTTGCTCTCATAGGCGCTGCTTTCTTTTTGAACTTTGAGGGCTAGCGTAGACAGCCATGAAGAGAATCCAGGAGTTTATGTCACTCATTTTCATTCTCCTATTCATGAATTGGTTTGAAATATGTAGTATTTCCACTTCAACAACTTATCTCCATAATAGCCATATTCCGCCACTAAAACCGTGTGCTTCAATGGGGAAGGAATGGTGGAAGCCGAATTGGGAGATAAATCTTGTCTGCTCGCTTTCCGGAAACCCGCGGTTCAAATAACGCTACTACATCCGGTCGTTTGTCACGTATTAAGGACTTGAAAATTCTGCCGAATGATGGGCTTGCTGCGCCCTGGCAATTCCAGAAGATGAAAGACATAGTAACAGAATCAATGGATTATGCTCGAGACTAAGTGCTCGGGACCTTGACTATTACCATTATGGATAGCGATACCGGTTGTATCCAGCGTTTAGGTTCCCCCTGGGTCATTGCTTTCCTCCAACGGTTGAATCACGTTTTGTGCACTGGTTTCCAGCATTGTCTCATCTCTTCTTGTATTCCTTCTTGAGAAACACGAGCTTCCAAGTTATCTGCTAGGTTAGTTGCCAATTGTATCGCAGTTGTGCGGGTGGAGCTTTTTTTGTGTTTGGTTTACGCACTTTGAGACCTTTCCGGAGCGTTTCTCCATTGAGTTTGTTGGTTCCATTATGGCGTGGTAATGAGTTTTTGCTATTGTTGCGTGATATTACAAAACCTTGCTCAACTATGGAGACTGCTGTGTGATTGCCATTGTCGATTGCAGATTTGTGGTTAACTATTTCGGACTCTTTGCCTGGAGCTAAGGGAATAACCTCCATCATGTTTTTACCCTTACTTGCTTTTCCACTTTGTTATGTGTTTGTCCTAGGGAGTGCTGCATGGGAGCTACTGGGTTGATGGTTGTTTTGCATGGGTGTTTGTTGTGTGTTTGATTCTTTGGCATTGTTTGGCCCGATCGTTGACATTCTTTCGTGTTCAACGATTTCCATATCCTCATTCTCGTTTGTTGTTCCCTCAACCTCTAATATTGCGTACCGGGACCCGTTAGTTTAGGCTTCCACGCTGCCTTTGTTTGTAACAGCCGGTGTTTTATTGCTTGGTCTTCCACGGTGGTTTGTTGCTATCATCCAAGGTCCGTATGGATCCTAATCTTGAACTGCTGGAGAGGTGGTGACTGTTTGTTGTTTCGAGTTGGTGGTCGTGTTAGCTTCTGATGGTGCTCCGGAGTTACATGTTTCTTTGGAGTGACCATAAATACCACATGCAAAGCATATTTAGTTCAGACCCTCGTATTCTAATCTTCGGATGAAATTGTCGATGCCAATTCGTGATTTAAGAGGTTTGTTTAAATCCACCATGAACGCTAGCCTTGCGAACATACCTCTTTCTCCTACTTGGGTTTTGTAATCGACTTTAATTACTTGGAACCATATTTGTTATTTGTCGTAATAGAGCCTGACAGTGGTATCGGTAAGGGAGGCCAGGTAATCTGATGTGATGGATGTTTCTCCGTTGTGGAAAACGATCTGCTCCAGGGTTGAACTGTTAGGTAATTTCCGTAAATCGTCCATGACCTTTCGGTTAAGACCTCCGAGTAATCCCTTACGTCTTCGAACTTCACCAGATAGTAATTATTTTCCAGGTCAATAAGTTGAATCTCTCCTCTTGGTTTCCATAGTGCATGGATCCTGTCGAATAACGTTTTATAGCCAATTGTTCTTCCGAGTAATCGGACTATTATGCGGTACTCGTACTTTTGTCGATTTGATCATGAACTCGGTCAGAGAATTTGATTGTGGGGAATTCACCTGTTTCATCGATAATACAATCTTCATCGAGTACTTCCACCGTATCGGATTCAAACCTGTATCCAAATCCTACCCTTGGGTCTTGCACTGTGTTCTTTGCCGCCATTGAGGCGTAAGTTGGTTTGCTGTTAGTTGGTGAGGGAGAATTAAGCCCTAGTCCTGTTCCTTGATTGTTTACCGCAACTGCTTCTGCTTCCATGTCAGAGGCTTCTGGTTGC